GGGGGGGCTACACCCCCAAAGTCCCGATTCGGCTCAAAATTATGGAATTTCAGTTGCAGGCATTGTTAGCTTCCTCAGTTTCTCCTACAACTATTTCATCTCATTAGAATCTCCAAAAACCTGATTTCTTCCCATACCGGGCATGTTTATCACTACCATTTCCTCTTAAAGTCAATATTTTATTTTTCTGTATCGACCGTTTTCTCAAAACGCGATTTTTCTCTATAGTTTTTTTAATAACTCCACCATTTTTTATCCATTCCTCATGAAATTTTGACAGAATGAAGAGAAGATGTAATACAAAAAATTTGATTACTGAATTTTTAATATATGGAATAGATTTGTGTTGGTGGAGTCTGGAGTGTGGATTTTCACGGATTTTTTTTACGAATTTGAATACTACCTCAGGACAAAATTCATTAAACAAATTCTAATTCGTTTAGTTTTTAGATCTAATGTTTGTTAACACGTATGCAAAAACATATATATTTCCCTCAGCAATAAGTGCGGTATTCATTACGTAAGCAAGACATGTCAACAAATTCCAATATAGTCGCCGTAAACGAAATTTTTTGTCGAATTTGATTGCGGATTTTAAGACTCCTGCCTATGCTTGTTATATGTGTGAAATATGGTAAAATTTGGTCCACTAATAAGCGAGATAGCCTTCAGGTGTACCCCCCCCCCCATTAACCATTTGATTATGCTTTGGGAAAAGTATCCGCCAAGCTGGGGACTTTTGCTATCTACTCAGCTTCCAAGAGGACACCAGCGATCGGATTCATTTTATTCAGCAGGTGCAAGCCATATTTTCCTTCAGGGATGAGACGAGCGCTACCATCTTGGCACAATACGACCGTTTCGATTCACGACCTTGAAAAACAAACCAATTTGATTTTGAAAGTTGGTCATAGTCGAATTTAGCCGAATTGGCTCGAACTGTGCCCAAATGGCGTCTTTTGCTCCATAAATGAAGGAACGACTTGCTTGCCCTGCCCGACTCAAATCGATGAATCTGGTTTGCAGTGTGCACTGGGCATGTCATTTCATAAAGAATGTACAAACTGTGTCTCCCCATGATCTCCCCGGTTCTCAGCATTTGCATAAGGGAGATCGGACCAAGTCGATATTCTGGCATGTCTGGTAAAAGCAAATATCTGCTACCCAACTACAGGTCGATATTCGATATCGATAGTGGCGCCCATTTCCCTAACTTCCCACTCCTCGACCCCAAGTATTAAATTATAGCATCCATCCCTATAAAATCACAAACAAAAGCCCTCCCTCCCACTCTTATTTTTTTAAAATCATAACCTTTCTAACTTGGGGTGGGCTTCTTTTCCACACAAAAAATGCTCCTTTTGACAAAGTCACGTAGCGCTGAAGTTCTGGGAGTTTGAAGGGTTCACAAGGGTAGCATCACGTCTTCCCCCAGGCCATCAGGTTCGTTAGACTAAACAAATCTATTCTTAAATAATAATTAAACCTCTACCCGAAAATTTCTTTGGGCGGAAAATAGATTTTTTTTTGGGGGGGGGGGA